GCTACGGCTTTTTAGTTTCACCCGATCACGCGCAATTACGTCGAGAAGAAGTAAGCATTTCACTGTGGCACAGCTCGGTCGCGTTACAAAACCTTGATTTTTGGTCTTTGTGCCATTTTGTCCCTCTCGGTGCCTTCCAGAGACCAGAGGCAGCTGCGACCCCGCCGAGTAGACGGCGGCACACCGCGCCACCTGCTGTGTGCCGCCGTCTACTCGGCGGGGTCGCAGCTGCCTCTGGTCTCTGGAAGGCACCGAGAGGGACAAAATGGCACAAAGACCAAAAATCGGCGCGGTGTGCCGCCATCTACTCGGCGGGGTCGCAGCTGCCTCTGGTCTCTGGAAGGCACCGAGAGGGACAAAATGGCACAAAGACCAAAAATCAAGGTTTTGTAACGCGACCGAGCTGTGCCACAGTGAAATGCTTACTTCTTCTCTACGTAATTGCGCGTTTCGGGTGAAACTAAAAAGCCGTAGCCACTGCTTCGTGCTTGTACCAGGTCCCAGCCTTCGAGTGTATCCTGGCTGTGGTCCCACATGAGGGTCGATGGTGGAGTGCCAACCCCACACAAAGCACAATGCCTCAAAAAACCCAGCTCTCTCTCTAGAGCGTAACTAAAATCAGCATGGACAAGCGACTCGACAAGTACTTCTGCTGTACGAACCCTATAGGACCTGGTCAGCGGTGCTCCGCCTTCGAGACGACGACGCTGCCATTCCCGGCACCTCATCCGTGGTCGGTGCCCTGCCCACGTCCACCGCCAGCCCCTCCGGGTCGTCCCCCGGCACGTCCACCGCCAGCCCCTCCGGGTCGTCCCCCGGCACGTCCACCGCCAGCCCCTCCGGGTCGTCCCCCGGCACGTCCACCGCCAGCCCCTCCGGGTCCTCCTCCGCCACCGGCGAGAACGGCGGCGCCAACTCGGGCTCCGAGATGTCGCTCTCCGAGAACCTCGGGTCGCTCTTGCGGCGTAGGAAGGTGGAGCCGAGCCGTTGCGCGCCGCGCTGCAGCCCACCGCGCAATGCGGTGTTGGACTGCTGGTACGTCTCACGGTCGCCGATCGCCGAGAGCTGCTGCTCGACCTCGCCCAGCTTTTGGCGCAGCGCGTCGCGCATCGTCCGCACTTGCTCGACCGAGGGCACGGTTCCCTTGACGCGTCCCGACGCCTCGCGCAGCGGCTCGGCGAGGGAGGACAGCACCGAGCGCTCGCTCGACAGCGAGGAGCGACGCAATTCCTCGACGCTTCCTCCTGGCCCCTGCTGTATGGGCACGTTGGCGATCTGCAAGTACGACTTGAGCAGCCGCCGGTCGAGGCGCGCGTTGTTGCCATACATCTCGAGCAGGGCGCGCGTCAGCGGCGGCAAGTACATAGGCGCCTGCGCCGCGAGAATGGGCGGACAGCCCCTCGGAGAGGGCGGCGGCCTCGTGTAGGCCGCGCCGCCGCCGTTGTCCTCGCCGCCGCCCGAGCTTGGGGGAGGCGCGCCGGCAGCCGCGGCCGAGACGAGACCGGGGGTACGGGGGATCGTCCGTTTGTTCGCCGCGCCCCGTGGCGTCGCTGCTATCCCTCGATGCGCCGGCGGCGGCGGGCTGGCGGGGCGAGAGCCCGGGCTGGCGCCGACGCGCGAGCCGGTCGGCCAGATGCGAGCGTCCAAGTGCGTGCTGGACGGCTCAGCTGGGCGCAGCACATCGCGCTGCATGATGAAGCGGAACGCGTTGAGCGAGAAGGTGGAGAGGGCGGAGCGGCGCTTCTCGCCGAGCGCGGCGTCGCGCCGCCGCTTGCACCAGTGGAGGAGGAGGTAGACAACGACGCCGATGCCCCAGATGAAGGCGCCGCAGATGAGTATCACGTGCGCGCCCGATAGCTCGAGCGAGCACCCGGACACCACGGTGCAAAAGGCGCCCGACTGAGACGCGTTGGCGACGAGGCACTCGAGCGAGAGCACGGAACCCGAGTAGAGGTCAAAGTTCGCGTTGTTCCGGATGTGCTCCGCCCACTCCTCCTTGACCGCGATCCGCTCCGGGTCGAGCAAGTCGTTGAGGTCGCCGGTGCCGACGTCGGGCACGCAAGTGCCGCCGAGGAGATCGCTGCTGTTTGTGCTGTTGTCAAAGCTGAAACCGGCGGCGAAGGCGCGCTCGCAAGCGCCCTCGTCGGCGGCCTTTGATCCGACGCAAATGTCGTTGAAGAAGATGACAGCCATGACCGTGTGCGTGAGGACGGCCACGGGGAAGATGTACCGGATCACAACCTCCATCAGGCCGTCGTGCGTCACGGGCGGTGGCGTGAGGCGGCGGAGAAGCGTGTAGCGGTCCACCCAATGCGCGGAGAAGAGGAAGAGAAAGATAAGGCCGTAGAGGATCGGGATCGCGAACGCGAACATGAGTCCAACAAAAACGATCTTGTTCATCAGCTGGACGCGAAAGCCAAGGGTAAGGTCCGCATCGATGGTCCAGAGCTCGTCCATCTTGGCCTGCGTCTTTGCGCGGCGCGCGAGCACGTATCGGTTGAACAAGTCGGGCACCGGCCGCACGAGGTCGATGAAGAGGTTGATGGCGGTCGCGTCGCCGACGAGCGCGACGATGACGAACTGGGAATGGCGAGGGCGGGCGACAGCTTTGACTTCAAGCGGTGGGTGTGCGTGTGGCGAACCGGCGGCGGGGAGGGGCAGGCTCGGTGCGGGCTGCAGAGCACGTGTGACATGTGCGCAAAAATAGGAGGTCCCTCGCCGCACCTGACCGCCCGAGACGTACCAGCTCGCGCCGAAGCGGCCCATCGAGTCGTTGAACGCGAGCTCGTTCGCGTTTGTGTTGAGAAAGAGGTAGAGGAAGGAGGGGACGACGACGGAGAGGATCTGGAAGACGGTCATCTTGATCATCATCTCCTTTTCGCGCTCGCGGTGCGTGTACTGCACCTCGACGAGCTTCGCGAGGAAGAGCACGAGGATGAAGAAGATGAGGTGCCCACCAATGTTGACCACCAGCGCACCAAGCATCTGCGCGAGAAACTGCCCTGCGGGGAGAGGGTACGCCGCGTTTGGGTTGACCCCGGGCGCGAGGTAGTAATTGGAGACGAAGATGGTGAAGATGCCGACCGTCGCCAGGACGCACATGATGCCCGTCGAGAGGCACTGCCATTGCCGCTGCTGCCGCCGCGAGTACTGCAGGTTCTCCCATAAGACGTCGGACGGCTCGGGCGCGCGCTTAACGTGCAGCTTGGCGCCGAGGGCCTGCTGCACCTGCGGATGGAGCGGTACCGCGTGGCGCGGGTTCGGCGTGGGCGCGGCGATGGGCGTGGCGATGGGCGTAGCGATGGGCGTGGCCATGGGCGTTGCAGAGTGGTTGGAATGGGGAGGCGCGTGTGTGGCAAAAGCAAGGTGAGAGCGGAGGGAGAGAGAGCGCGTCTCAGAAATGTCCAGGAAACGTCTAGTGCACCCGGTGCTCGTCAGTGCCGCCCTTGCCGAGCCGCCGCACGAGCTCCGGCGTCACGCTCGCCTTGTTGAAGGTGACGAAGGCCTGCTCACAGCACGCTGCGGTGATGCGAGGCTGCCCGCAGCGGGAGGTTCAGCGAGCTCTGCTGGAGGTGACACGCACGTGGCCCGTGTGCTGGTACTTGCCGCGCATCAGCAGCCGCAGCCTCGCGCGGTGCCGCTCGAAGCGCTCAAGCGAGCGAACGGAGCGCACGCGCGCGCGCACGACCTCCTCCTTCTTCGCCAAGCGGGACATCTTCGTGAGCAAGTGCAACGCCGCCTCCGTGTGCCGGTCGCGCAGCTCCTGCGTGCGCTTCATCTCGAGGATAAGGCCGCGATTGTTGAGCGAGACCGACACGTGCACCACCTGACCGAAGCGCTCAAAGAAACCACGCACGTCGTCGCTGCCCCAGCCGTCGGGCAAATGCGACACCATCACGGTGAAATCGGCGGCGGTGAGCGTAGCCAGCGAGGTTGAGTTGCGGATGCGGGTGCGGATCTCGGACATCTTGCCGCGCAGCCAAAAGATGTAGACGACGAGCACCCCGCTGGTAATGAATTCGATGACGCCGTAGGAATGGCCGCCTATGGACAGGTTTCGCAGCGGAACATGCTGCAAGGCGCAGTGAGGCGCAGTGAGGTGGGGTGAGGTGGGGTGAGGTGTGGGGTGAGGTGATTGGCGACCTTTGGCGAGGACGCCCGTCGACTCGGTATTGCCGAGCGTGTGCACAACGGCGAGTGGATTGACGCCCGCCGCGGCGGAGTCGAGCTCAAGGAAAGCGAGGTTCTGCCCCTCCAGATTGATGATGAGGTTGGCGAGGTTGAAGGCGAAGAGGCAGAAGAAGAGGCGCGACGTGTAGAGCACAAAATGCATGTACTGTGAGACGTCGGTCCCGAACCGGTCGAAAGTCTCGAGAGGCGTGTAGAGCGGGTAGAGCTCGCCCGGCGCCTCGTCGCCCTCGTGCTGCCGCGCGAGCCGCTGCGACGCGTAGAGCCGCGCCTTCTTCATGTCCGGGCTCGGCGGCGCCTATAAAGGAAAGTTCCGAGAAGGTTCGGCGACGATTCCAGCCTTAGGCATGGACGGAATCCGTGAGCGACGGCGGTGGAGGTGTTGAGGTGAGGTGAGGTGAAGTTGATGAGACAATGGTCATGAGGCGTGAGGCGCCTTGACGTGCATGCCGTGCCCGATGCTGAGTGTGTGGGCGAGCGCCGAGCCCTCCATCTCCTTGTCCCTCAGCTTCCCCTCGATGTCGCCCGGCTCGCGGCGCGCGTGGTGGGAGGGGCGGGTGCGCGGCAAACACCAGCGGCGACAGAGGGGGAAGCGACCGCCCGCCTCCGGCTCGGGCGACGCGGGGCCGACGTCGACGTGGACAGCCTCTGCGTCGAGCGGCGCGGCCTTTGCGGCGGCGCGGCCTGGCGGGGTCGCGGCGCCCTCTTCGTAGGAGGGAGGGGCAAACCCGGGCTCGGGCGAGCCTTCGACGGTGAGCGGGCTCCGAAGGCGTCCGTCCCCTTCGGACCAGCGCCGCCGCGACGCCTCGCGCGACGCCGGCCGGGAGCTGCTGTCCCCTTCGGACCGGCGTCGCGCCGTGAACGGGGTTGTGTCCTGGATCAGCTCCGCAACGTCGCCTGGCAGGA